TTTTTTGTTTGTTTGAGTAACTGGAAGGGCAGGTTCTACAGTTGACCTGATTAAGTAGCCTTGTTCCTTGTGTTGTTAGGGTTCCTGGCAGGAATGTTACAGACTTGAGAATTTCATCAAAGGCTTCTTGTTTTTCCCTTTTTCTTGCACTTTACATGCCAGCTTCATTTTAAAAACTGACTTCGTGAGCCAGACACACTAGTGTGTGTCTATAGTCCCAGAACTTGAGAGGGACTGCTTGAGTTCAGGAGTGTGAGACCAGCCTGGGAGCCACACTGAGACTATCTCAAAACAAGACAACCTCCAAAATGGTTTCCTCCATCATGTCCACTATAATTCTTTTAGAAATACTAATAAACCTCTTATACTTTAAATAGCATTTATGCACACACACACACACACACTATCTTTAAAACAACAAAAAGTGAGCAGGAAGGATCTTCTGCTTATGTTTGTATTTTTACCAATCTCCATATTACCGGGTGTAAAAGAAGACACTAGGTGTTGTTCTTTGGTTTGTAAACTGGCACTGGGAGGGAAACACACTTATGTTAAACATTCTACAAGGCTGATTGACTGATTAGAACTTATTTGAATTGTGGAGAACTGGAATGCTGCAGGTCTAAAACCTAATTATCTTGCGTTATCCTTACCTCTTTATATATCCATTTACTGCCCACTTGTGTGACCTAATATCCTCATGATTATTAGGTAAATACTTCTGTGGTGTACTATCATGACCTGTAGCTCCCATAACCCAAAGGCTATGAATGTCATCAGACAAAACTTGAGGCCTACAGTAGAGATTTATCCACTCCATTGCATCCTGAGTACACGATGCATCCTTCCAAGTATCTGAAAAGAAACGTGATCACTTTCTTTGTTGAGTTTCTATAAAAACATCATGAAACTGTTAACATGTTGAAGAATGGTATTTGGTAGTAACCCAAATCTGTGTTCCCTGCCATGGTCACTCTTATTTAGTTCTAGAATAAATTATCTCTTATTCCCTTTGAAGTGAGGATTTTGCAACAGCTGGTTGAAGTCAATGAATAAAATCTGGCCTCCTTCAGATATATACTTGGAAAAAAGAAAGCATTTTAGTAGACTTTCCAAATAATGTGACCATTCTCTTATCATATTGCACCAAAAAGTCAGGAACTCAGCTTCTTCAAGATTAGGTAATTTTGGTACTGTTCCACTCAAAATTGTTAAGATAGACATTCAGAAAAAAAAAAACATGTACTCTAGTATGATCTGTAAACACTATGCTTGGGATATTTAGAAACTATTCACTGAGTTAGGCAGTTTCATCATATATCTTTGAAAAGTCACAAAGGTTGCTATGACAATATTACTAAAAAAAGTTCAAGTGTTGGTGATTGGGGATGCTAGGTAATGAGAAGGGGAATCAAAGGGGCCATTGGTTGTCAGCTGCTTCCCAGGCTCCATTTGGGGCATAATGTACACTTGTATGTGAGCTTCCTCTGGTAAAAATGGCATGCTCTCCATCCTTTCTGATGCAGACAACAGGTACCTTGATGGGGAAGTCCTGTGTATATGTCAATAAAGCATTGCTGGCCAATAGGGAAGCAAGATAGGTGGGACTAGGAGTTGAGGAAGATTCTGGGAAAGAGAGACATGGAGAGACATCATGTAGCTGCCATAGAAGAGGTCCGGACCCTTTCTCCAGTAAGAGAAATACTTAGATTAACAATTATGGGCTAAATACTTAAGTCAGAGCTAGCCAGTAAGAAACAAAGCAAACGTCCAACAGCTTCATAATTAATGCAGTGTCTTGTGTGCTATTTGGGGACTGTAACTGTGGCAGAGCCCAGGTGACTGTTGGGGGGGGGATGTAAAAACCGAAGTGGCAGGCAAGGAAAAATCTACACTCTACAGTACCTTCCTTGTCTGCAGACCCACTGGGACATAAACATATCAGAGTGGTAATGGCACAAATAGCATGGTTAATGGGCACCGACCCCCTTCACAAATGGTCAGTGGTTGATAACACATTTTCATGTAGACAGCAGGGGCCTCCCTTGGCCAGGCAAAGCCAAAGACCTCCTGTGAAGAGGAGAAAATCCAGTTTTACAATCCTGGGAAGACAGCTTGAAGCCAGGAGGGGGAAAAGAAATCATTATATGCCTCAAAACATGCCCTGGCATGTACTTGAACCTCACAAGCCCTTCCCTCAATTGTTTACAGCCCCTCACTGCTAAGACTGCCCACTTGAAACCATAACATTGTCTCGTCCCTCTAGTTCCTTTTTAGACACCAGCCAAAGCTCTAAACTTGCCTGCTCTGGCACTCCATGTTTTCTCACTTCCTGAAGACCCTCTCTACCAACGCCACCCCCAGATCCGTTGCTTGAGGAGTTCCATTGCTGAAGCATGCCTGTTTTCTTGACCCCCAACTTGCTTTCCTCCCCAATCCTAATTGTCCTTGAGTTTCTTCCTTGAGTCCATGTTGAAATACTGTGTTGCTCAGTGATAATAGGACAGTGTCAGGCTCATGGGAGCAAATACACAGTTATCCTTTCAGTACGGAGGAAACAGAGACAGTTTCACAGACACAGTTTGAAAGAGTAGGAATTAGATAGACTCCCTGGTAGGTAGATAGGGAGAGAGGCCATGATAGGTATTAAGGGTGGAGAATTTCCAAGATGGCCAGTTTCTTCCAAGCCTTTCTGACTTTTATCTACTATCAGTAGGACCCCTGCTGATGGACTAGCTCAACAAGTTTAAGGCTTGCTGACATTACACAATAGTTGCTGATCAATCAACCATCCCATATTTCTTCACCTGGCCAACCCTAGATTAGGGGAGGAAGACTCTTCAGAGGCTTAAAAAAACCCAACCCCAAGAAGAGACTAGACTTTTTTGGCTGAGTCTCTGCTTGGCTTTGTAGAGTCTTTTTTTTTTTCCCGTGTATGTCTGCTGTGTTCATGTGTTTCCTTACCCCCGATAAAAACACCTTCAACTGATAATTCTGTCTATGTAGTGTCTGAGATTTCTCTGATGCCAAAAAAACAAACAAACAAACAAACAAACAAAAAAAAACCCAAATCTGATCAAGATCTCTAGACTATCAAATTGGGGCTACAGAGATAGACAGGATTATAATCTGACAAGGTAAAAAGCCACCGAGGCTACACAAAGGGTATGTCTTTTTCCTATAAATGAAATTTCTAGTGAGATTTCTAGTATTGCAAACTTTATGGTTGGGGAGAGGGCCTCAGGTACATAACTATTGGAAATCTTGTTTCTCTGTGGCAAAGGCTGACATCTAACACTGTGATGCCAATGCCCCCACAAGTAGGTCATCTGTCTGGTGTATGTCACAGGCCAACAGACAGAGAACCCTAAATTTCTGGAGACCTCCAGGTTGGCTCAGACCCTCTTTTGATGTGGTTTACTCAACTGCTAGTCTGCCAGGCTGGGTCTGCTGTCCATCTGCCTAAGAGTTTCTTTGTCTGGCCTAAGTCCTGTTCTTTCACGTTGGTCTCTGAACACACTGGAGTTTGTAAAATGTGTGGCCCATCGTCAGCAGCTTCTTCCCTGCAGCTGGGTTTGTGGTTCATATGTTCTCAGTATAGACCCTGGCATCCCTACCAGTTTCCTTGCCCCTTTTAGCCCTTTGTAGGCTGTGTAACACACGTATCTACATATGTAAACACAGAGAGATAAACTTACTGAGTGATGTATGTGTGATGTAAGGGTTAATATTACTAATTAAGACTGCAATAAAAGAACCTGTGTTTGCCTTAGCCAAGGCTGCCAAGTAAAGCAGGACTCTTTGGTGCCAGAGAAACCACAGTTCTTGTGGAATTCGTTGTAATTCAGTAAGTCCCAGCAGCGTGAACACACATAAACACGTCCGTCTGTTTCTGACATATTGTGCACACAACACGAATCATCCGGATGCCTTGAGCCCAACTCAGAGGTGATGGGAAAGCAACTTGGGGCAAGAGATGAAGAAAAGTGCAAGACGAGGGAGTAGACATGTGGTGGGAAGACGATTCGGTGGTCTCGATCAGAACGGGGGGGGGGAGAACAGGTAGAGGGAGAGGGGGAGGGAGACGGAGGGGGAGAGAGAATGAATTTAAAGTTGATTTTATAAAGGCCTGAATACGCACACGGACCTGTCTTCTTCTATACCTTCTAGGATGGGGTTGTCTGGTCTCCACTAGTTAGTGTAAGTTTTTACTGCTCCTTAACCGTCCTAGGTTTTGGCGGGAACAGAACTTCTATACGCACAGGAAAGTACTTTCCGACACATTGAAAAAAAAATCAGCAACGTAGGCTACTGGGAAGAAGCACAGCAGAGACAAGTTAAAGGGCAAGAAGTTGCAAAGCGAAGCAAGAGTGGAGCTTTGGCAGGTCTGATAACGAGGGGCGACAGTCCTGTGAACGGTGAGCCGAGGCTGCTGTAACCCAGCCTCATTCTGCAACCACCAGGCCGGAAGGAGCCCCGCAGCTGCCCGTAACCTGCGGCGCTGAGCTCCCCCTGCGCTCCACGACCTGGGCTCACGCGTGTCTGGCAGGGCGCATCCTCGCGTGCCCACGCCGCTCTCTCCAGGCTGGACCAAGGCTGAAAGCCCGCACAGGCCCAGGTCCGCCTTCCCACATCTTCCCGGGGGGGTCATCCCCAACCTCAGCGGAGCATGCGTAGTGACGAGATGACTCCGGACCAGTCGGAGCGCGTGTTACGGCCACCAGCCGCCCAATCAGGAGGCGCCTTGTTACCTGGGAGTCCCGCCCCACGCCGCCCCGCCGCTGACAGGCGCGGTTCGCGCGGAGCCAAGCGTGCACGGCGAGGCGAGCGCCCCGAGGCGAGGCGAGCGCGCCGGGCGAACCCAGGCGTGCCCTTTCCATGGTGGCGGCGAAGCGGGTCGCCACAGTCCCCGCCGGCTCCCGGGGCCCCGCGGCCCATGCTGGGGGCGGAGCCAGGGCGGAGGGCGGCGGCGCGGCCGGCCCCGCGCGGTGATTGGCGGGCGGCCGGCGGTGGCTGAGGTCCTGGCGGCGGCGCGGGCAAGGCAGGCGGAGTCGCGGCTGGCGAGCCGAGAGGATGCTGCTGTCCCTGGTGCTCCACACGTACTCTATGCGCTACCTGCTCCCGGGCGTCTTGTTGCTGGGCTCGGCGCCCACCTACCTGCTGGCCTGGACGGTGTGGCGGGTGCTGTCGGCGCTGCTGCCCGCCCGCCTCTACCAGCGCGTGGACGATCGGCTTTACTGCGTCTACCAGAACATGGTGCTCTTCTTCTTCGAGAACTACACCGGGGTCCAGGTGAGGCGCGGCCCGGACGGCGCAGCTCGCAGCTTGCAGCTCGCAGCCCGGCGAGCACGTGCCGCTGCACCCGGCCTCCCTCCCGCCGCGGCGGGAGTGCGGGGTGGGGTGGGGAGGAAGAGTTTCTGGTTCTCACTTTGGGGTTCCTCCTGGAACGTCCTGCCGAGGCTGAGTGTGTGTGTGTGTGTGTCCCCGGGTCCGCCCCACCCCCGCCACGGCCGGCTGTTACTGCCCGTCTCGGTGCCTGGCAAAGTAGGGCACGGAGTTCGAGGTGGTGATGGTGGGACGGGCTCCCTCTGCACTTCCGAGGTCTCTGAGATTAGGGAGCCCTCTGGACGCTGACCCAAGTGACAGTTGTGAAGGACGACTCCGGCCTCGCGTTCCTCTCCGGGTGGAAAGCGAGAGCCGGGCGAGGAAATGAATACATTGGTTACAATAGGAGCCTCACTGTGGATACAGTTCTCAGCCAGCTTCTACTGGGCTTCAGTGTGGGGCTGATCTCTGAGTGAGATTGCTTTCTTCCTGCTACTTGTTTCTTTTTCTGTGGAGTCTAAACTTGGGAAAGAATGAAAGTAGCGAAGCCCTCCTAACGTGACTTAGTTGTATGAAGTCTCCTAAAACCTTAGATTAATTGGGCTTCCCTTTTAGTTTTCAGTCCGAAAGAAGAGCTCTGTTTGGGTTCTTCCTAATAATGTTGAGGACGGACAGAATGGAGCTGCATCATTTGTTTTTTTGTTTGTTTGTTTTGTTTTTCTCCCATTTCCCAGCTCTTTTCATTCTATGTCCATGGATGCAGTTGGGGACAGATCGTTTATTGAGTTTGCTCCAGTTGGAAATGATGACCGAGGAAGGGAGTTAGGAGAGGCTAGGAATCACACGTTCTTTTTAAATGCTTTCCTGGGACACAGAAAAATCATTGTTCCACGTCGAGGTTTCTGAGCAACTGGCTTTTAGAATCGGGTGTCATTCAGATTTTTCAGGAATTCTAGGCTGATGGCTTCCTCCCTCACTTTTGGTTTACTAAGTTTGTCAAATGAATGCATGGTCTAATCGTGGGTAAGCATTTAATTTCACATATTTTCACTAGCAGTTGGGACAGCTGGGAATGCCACTTAAGATTGCTGACCTTGCACATGACAAGTACCCCTCACTCAGAGCCACAGGGATCTCTTAAGTGTTGCCCACGTTCTTGCTGCACAGACATTCAGGATGAGTCAGAAGCCAAGTTAGCGAGCTTATTGATTGGGACAGAGGACATGCATTTGAGGACAGTGCAAACCTTATGAAAGGAGCACACCTCAGTGCTACAGCAGTTGCTATAGAGGTGATTTGAGGCCTTTTGGCTTGAAGGAGGCATTCTTAAAACTAAGATTAAGAGAAAAAGAAAAAAGTGTGTTCCTCTCCTCTTTCTGGGTCGAGCTTTAAAAACGAACCAACCAGGATCTCACCATGTAGTCCTGGTGGGCTGGAACTCTTTACATAGACCTCATAGTCCTTCAGCTGACAGAGATCAGCCTGCCTCTGTCTTCTGAATGCTGAGACTGGAGGCATGAGCTACCATGCCTGGCTTAAACTTGTTTAGTATATGCAATTTAAAGGGGTTCGTAATGATACAGAACACATTTACACATGAGGAAGAAATATGGTTAGGTAGGAATATAGATCAAAATAAAATAGTAATTAACTGTTCATTGGTCACAAGAGTGTAAGACGCAGATTTCCTTCTACCTTGGTTCACTAGCCATGCTAATAATCTTATGTGCAGTAGTTTTAGAAAATATGTATAGTATAGGATAGTCTTCAGGCAGCTGTATCCAAACTCTAACTTGTCAACCAATTCCACTTGAGGAGGGAAAAGGTGAGGGTGAGGGCCTCTTTTGCCATCAAAAGCAGATTTTTGTGGATATTACATTGGATTCTGTGCAAACATAAGTTTCCTAGTTTCATTTTTGAGGTCATATTAATGCTAAAATTCTGAATAATTTGTGTATCCTTTGAAGTTTAAAAAATTCTTTGTGTGCATGTACATGTGCGTATGTGCTGCATGTACGTAGGTATTCGTAATTATGATTGTGGGAGCACTGTGTCACAGCATACATATCAGGACATAGGTCAACCTTGAGTGTTGATTTTCACCTTGTACTTTTGAGTTGGGGTCTCTTGCTCACCACGTGTGTGCCAGCTCAGCTGGCTTTGGAGTTTCCAGATCCTCTCCTGTATCTGCTTCCGTCTCACTGTAGGAGCAGTGGATCACACAGAGGCACATCTGACTTCATGTGGGTTCTGGGGATCTGAATTCAGGTCCTCGAGCTTGTGTGACAAGTGCTTTACCCACTGAGCCATCTGCCCATACCACATAGATAGAGCTTTTCAGGTTCTTGTAGTCCATCACTACTGGAAGTGAGTCCCCTTTATCTTTTATCCCTTTAGGGTTAGTAGTGGGATGTTTTTAAGTTTTACTAATCTAAAACCCGTTTAAAAGGGACCAGAGGACTGAAGAGATGTCAGCAGCTAAATAGACTGCTCTTAACCGTAGACCAGAATGTGCTTCCTAGAACTTACACTGACTGTGTCACAGCCACCTAACCCTGACTGTAAGTCTTACACCTTGTGTACTAGCACGCACATGCACATGCACATGTCCCTACCCTTCAGTGTACATACTTTAAAAAAATTTTTAACCTAAAAAAAGGAAAAGAAAAGCAATTGGAGTCTCTCTAACATTGTAAAAAGTTCATTTCTTCTTGAGGCTACAACAGATTACATCAAGATTAGTGGCTTAAACAGATCGGGTTATTCTCACACCTCTTGAGGCCAGAAGTCTGAAATTGAGGTTTAGGTTGGATTTCATTCCCTCTAGGAATTTTGTCTCTTTCAGTATCTGGATGCTGGCTGCTTTCTTTGATTAGAGGTCCATCCGTATCTGCCTCATAGTGTCGTTTCTTCTGTTTTGTCTCAAATCTCCATCTTCCTTTTGTTGTGGTAACATTTGTCATTGCATTGTAACCTGTAGACCCACCTGCATAATCTAGGATAATTTTGATCTCCGCAAGATTCTTAATGACATCCTAAAACTAGTTAAAAACAAAACTAACAAAACTAAACAAAACATTTACTCAGTGTGGGTACATGTGTTCGTGGTGTGTGTGTGTGTGTGTGTGTGTGTGTGCGTGTGTGTGTGTGTGTGTGTGTGTGGACGAGAGGACAACTTTTAGGAGTCACTTCTTGCCTTCCACTGTGTAAATCCTAAGGACTGAATTTAGTTTGTGTATTAGTGTTTTTCATGTATGTATGTATGTATACCATCTGCCTGCCTACAGAAGCCAAAAGAGGGCATTGGATCCCCTGGGACTGGAGTTATAGATGGTTATGAACCACCATGTGGGTGCTGGGAATTGACCTGGGTCCTCTGCAAGTCCTCTTAACTGCTGAGCCAACTCTCTAGCCCTCTTTTAATTGATTCTGAAATGACTGTCCCCTAATAGCTAATAGTGTATCAAAAGCCAACAACCTAAACAAACCCTTCAAACCAGGCCTTATAGTTTAGATGTGACATAATCTTTTTTTTTCAAGACTGGTTTGAAAGAACTAGAAACAAATAGTGTTTAGGTCTGAGTTGCTCCTGTTCGTATTATTTGCACAGACTCCAGACTTCTCTAGGCTTTGTTCCTTGCACAGAAGCTTCTTTCAAGTTCTCAGAAACAAACCTGGAAGCCATGTAACACTGGTTTGTTCTTTCTGACTTATCAAGCATCCTAAACTTCCTGAGTCAAGTTCGCATCTGAATCTTGCTGAACTCAGCTACACTCCTGGGAAGAAATATGTTTACTTAGAGTTAAAGGGGACTCACAGGTCATCTAATCTGACCCTTGTATTAGGTCTGAATTCTTTCCACACTCTGCTATCAGTGATCTTTAAAAATGTTAATTATTTATGCCCTCAGTTTTGTTTCACTTTGCTTATTTGTCATCCTCATGATTCTTAAACACACTAAATCACTTGCTTTGTTTAGCTGGGAGCAATAGACCTGGGTGGACCTGGGTGTGCCTTTGCTTAAGTAGAATGAGCAAAACCTTTGGTTCAGGAAATTGAACATTTCAAAGTGTAATTCTAGTTTAATACAACTTAAATCTGGCTAAGAAATTGACTAAATTTAGGAGATGTACAAGACAATTTTAGGAAAATGTAATTAAAATTTAGTTTAATTTAATTTGTTTGTTTTTTGTTTATCAAGACAAGGTTCCTCTGTGTAGCTTTGGAGAAAATTTTGTATAAACATAAAACAAACCTGGTACTTAGTGTTTCAGTTGTGATGTCTTTTGTAAAATGTTTTTATTTGTTCTTTGAGACTATCATACAATATATTTTGACCATATTCTTTTTCCTCTCGCAGTTCTTCCCAGATCCTCTGCCTTATATAGTCTTTTAATGTCTTATTTTTCTTTTTTGGATAACAGATGCTGTCTTAGTTAGCCTTTCTATTGCTGTGAAGAGACACCACAACCGCGGCAACTTTTATAAAGGAAATCATTTAATTGAGGTGGCAGCTTACAGTTTCAGAGGTTTAGTCTATTACTGTCATGGCAGCAGACAGGCAGACGTGGTGCTGGTTACGTCTTGATCGTAAGACAATAGAAAGTCAAGTAGCTTTAGCATAGGAGAACTCAAAGCCCATCCCCACGGTGACACATTTCCTCCAACAAGGTCACACCTACACCAACAAAGCCGCACCTCCTAATATTGCTACCCCCTTTGGGGGCCATTTTCTTTGAAACCATCACATATGCAATGAGACATTCAGACATTTGATATGAAACTTTACACTTCTTCCAAGACCTTTAAATAAACACTGTTGTTGGGGGAGACTGCACTATCTTAGAGGGGTTTTATGGTGGCATTACATGTGACTGTGTACTCACCAGGAAAGCCTGGCTGCTGGGTTTTTTTTTTTTTTTTTTTTTTTTTTTTTTTGGTGTTTCGAGACAGGGTTTCTCTGTAGC